AACTTGTCAACAACTTCCAATTTTTATTTTTCTACAAAGCATTCTTCTCGTCATGTATTGCTTGAAAATTATCATCTTTAAATGCTTCGTGAGCATTGATGTTGAGATTAAAATAGAATCGAGTGCTGAAATAAAACTTCTATGCTGCATATAAAAGTTCTTAAAGGAGATAAAATGAGATATAGGCTATTGGATACAAGATTTTTTCCCTTTCCTTAAAGCAATAGGTAAGTCATCAAGATTTATAATAGGTTAGGGAAAAAAAGAGAAGTGCATTTAGTACTTACCAGTGATACACACGATTGTAGTTCGAGTGTTCTAGCTTTCTGTAGATTACAAGGAATGTCATATGAAGTACATAAAGAATTACTAGCCTCATCAACTAGGTCTTACTTCTCATTATCATGCAGTGTAGCAACTGGGGTATTAGAGTTAGACTCAGAAGGGCTAGGTAATTGAAAGGGAGACTCTAACCCGAAGAAAACGGACGAAGCTCTGAATTATTCTCCCCCTGAAGGCAAGAACGAGGGAAAAAGAATCCAAATTCATGAGAAGTTATATCCATGCAGACAAAGAACTTACAACTTGGAGGATGATAGCATTTGTATCTTTTGTTGTCAGAGGCATAATCAAGGAAGACACACTTACGGACTCAGGGTTCCAATTTATTTCAATGTTGTTTATGAATATGGACGAAGGCAACACACCCAAAGGAGCGAGACTAAAGACACTGCATAACTGGAACAAAGGGAAAGAAAGAGATCACCAAATGAAGAGGAATTATACGGCCAAGAACCCGTGAAGGTCTCCCTAATAAGAGCTAGATACAGATGTCTAAAACATAATGCCTTGGTGACTTCAAGTAAATAACAATTCTTTCTTTCAGGCTTTCAACAATCCCTTATCTTCAATGAATTAAGAAAGGCACTGGTTGACATACTTCGTACCATTATCTGATTCAAGTATTTAATACTCTTACCAAAATGTGTCTTAATCATATGTTGAAATTGGATGAACAAATATGGTATCTCTGCCTTGTCTTGTATCAAGAATATTCGTTCTATCATAATACAATCATCAATAAAAGGAACAAACCGCAATCCACAATCCATGAGTTTTTGAAATCAATGCAAGCAGCAATAAGAGACTGAATGCACGTGTTCTTTTGTGTAACCTAGCCTTTTACAATAGGTGCACTAGCATCCCTTTTTGCTGGACTTAGAAAAAGAGGAAAAAGACCCTTCATGAGGGGGTTAATCATAGCAAACCCATCAGTTGGCTTAGAGTCAGAAAAAGGACCTGGAGTAATGAGTTTAAATGAAAGCATGACAAATTTATCAGGCAACTGAGCATGCATCATGATTGCCCTACGAATATCTTCAACCCTAATAGTGTGATAAAATTCAGAAAGAGAAGGTCAATTTTTCTTACAAAGAATCTGAACCTGAATAGGGAATTCGGAGTTGAGGCCACAAAGAAAATCAAATATTCAATTCCTTTCAACTGACATAACTAGGGTGGCAACATCCTTGCAACCCTCCATTTTCAAATTCCGGTACTAATCTAGCTCTGTTGACAACCCATTCGTAATGTCGTAATATCGTATTGGAGAGAAAGAACCCTGCTTGGTGGAGTCATATTTCTCAAGTCATAGCAGGTGACAGCATCTTGCTTCATAGAGTAAGTTTGCCTAAGAATGTTCCAAATCTCGAGAGCGGTAGGTAAAAATATGGAATGTTGATTTTCAAGAGTCATAGAATTTCATAGCCATGTCATAATAAGATAGCCTTTATCATCCCACTCAGCAAACAACAGATCTATTTTAGCACGAAAAGACCTTTCAAGATGAGCAACTTCACAACGTCCTTTGACGATCATACAAATAAGTTGAGACTACCGTAAATAATTTTATCCATTGAGACGATAATTATGATGCATAGTGGGAAGATCATTTGGATTGAGAGAAATTGTGGGTTGTGATACGGGCTAGGTAATTACACACAGTCGTTAGTCCAAAAAAAATAAAACAAAGAGGATGAAGACCTAGCACCTAAAAAGTGTCTGATCAAGAGGATGAAGACAAATATAGGCTCGGGATGGTTGGACGATCACAAACACGGTGGACAAAGGTTGAAAATGGCCTCATGCGCCGGTGAGATGGCAGCCCATGCATGCTGTGGAGGCGTGTGAGGCTCCTATGACTGTAGGCTTTTTGGGAACTGCAGCCCCAAACGGTGTGATGTCGCCTGTGGGTTACCAAAGACAAAAAGCCGACAGTGTGCGCATGGGTCTTCAACCAATCATGAAGCTACTTAGATCAATAGATCAAGAAATTCTGAGCTGAGCAGTGGCCTTCTTCGTACAAAAGGTCCCTAGAAAAAAAATTGGTGGATGCTAGTGGTGGCTGATGGGACAAAAATTCTATCCCATGTGCAGTGTTTTCACTGCGAAACAACCAGTCCGTTTATATTATAAATATTAGTATGTATGCAATAAATGTTGACTTGTGTGAAGGAACGACTGCCAACGTGGAAAAGTGAGAAAAGAAAGAGAGAATAACATGAATGACCTGTCCAGTGCTTTTACTTTTTGATTCCACTAACATTTGTTTTTTGCATTTCTACAGAGTACGGTAATGAAACACACCTAAAAGGACATACGCACACAGCAGAGCAGAAAACGCACACAACAAAGCAGAGAATGTTGTTGGACGAGTCTGAGTGTCAAAAGATCGTCCTTGGAAAAGCAAAGCAGAGGAGACAGCTCAACCCTAGTCTTATCCACCTTAAATCAACACCCATCGTTTGATCAAAGAAAGGAGGAGACGTTCTCGATCCAATGGTGCAGGGAACGGCTTGAAGTAATCACAACAATACCACTGTCTTCCCCAGCCTATAAATAGAAGATTAAACAAAGGAAACAATAGCTTTGGCAAGCAAGTTTTAATTGCTAGAACAACACCCTAGTGTTTTCTCTTCTCCATCAAAGCTCCACACGAGCAAAGCAACCATTTTTCTTCATTTTTATTTTACCATTGTGTTATTAAGTCTTTGTTTCTCTGTATTTACTTTGAGTATGTAATTTCTCTTCTCCCTATTTGTCTTCATCAATTTGTATCTCGGGTCTATAGGATTTCAACTTGTTAAGATTTTGTATGTATTTTCAACCATGACTTTGAGCATGAGCTAATTTCTTTTTGGAATGAAAAAGTTGTGAAGTTGTTAAACTTCTGTAGTTGAATTTAATCCATCGAATTTCTATTGTTTATATGTTATAATATCTTGTATCAATAAAAATTGAACATGACTGAGAGAGGAACTTCCTTAAGGAAGGGATTTCAGACTACTGAACAATAGGAGGAAGGTGAAGAGTGTGGAAACACTTTCACTAGTTGCCTTAGAAATAAAGGACCACCTCGTTCACTATAGGTTCTGTACTGAGTAATTGTTGGGAACAAAACCGCCATAGCAATATGGAATTTTGAACACCATTTATATGTAATAGCTTGAGGATTCAGCATTGGCAATGAAAAAGACCTAAACAAGTTCATTGGACGCGGTCTTGAGCCTAGATTACAGTTGGTTTAACAGTGGATCAGTGTATCCATTCCCTTTTCTTTTAACTGTCGTTACGCTTATCATGTTATTGTGTTGTTTCCTGTTATTACTCCTTGTCACTGCTTATTTTAATTTTTGTTTATTTTGTTTATTTCACACCACACAACAACTATATTTTTCAATGATTTGTCGTTCCTCCTTGAATTAGGAAGGATTTGAGTATAGTGGGAACTATTTTAAGTTGATCTTCACACCACGCGAGGAATTATTTTAAGTTGATCTTCACCTTTTGTTATAGTGGGAACACAACTGTGATATCTGGGAACGACTAGCTAGAACAGTTCAATATTGCTAACCCATTCTTTTTAATTTTTTAATACAGCTTAAGATTCATTTTAGCAATACTCTCTCTGTGGGAACGATAATCTGGACATTAAAACTCTCATTTATTACTTGATGTGTGCACTTGCGCAAATGGGTCATCATCTTGTGAACGAATGAGTTTGCAAGACAAACCCAACAATGAAGAGTTGACAGGAGATAGTCAAAAAAGGGTTCCGCAATCAAGGCAACGACTACATAAGCAAGAAAGGCTCCCAAGTCGAAAGCTCTGATGCCAACTTAAAAAAGAAAATTGAAATATTATTTCTTTCTAAAGAGTACATGTACCAAAGTGGTACAATATATATAGAGAGACTAATGGACCTAAACGAATAAACCAAATCTTAAAAATAAGGAAACTTTAATCTGGCTAATAAACGAAACAAATAATTACATATATTTTCTATATTTACAACACTTAGGCATACGATTGTGTTATAGCTAGAGGGGGAGTGTTGAGAAGCTTGAAGGGGAGTGTTGAGAAATATAAGGCATGAAGTCCCACATTGTGTATTATTCTTTGTTATTCTCTTTTATTTAGTTAAATAATAGAGTCTCTACTGTATAACTAACACATGGATTTCAATACATGCCTCTCAGGTCCTAACATTTAAAACTGCTCATGGACGTTTTAAAGGTATTTCTTTGTTGAACATAATGAGAGATTGACATGCCTTGTTGCAGGACTCAATCTCTTAGTTTCTAGGTGTTTTCTTTAGTAACCTTGTGAGGATATCTTATCCTTTAGATTCGCACACTTCTTTTCTTCCTTAATGAAATTTCTTTATATATATAATTCAAAGTAACCTCATTGCTACTCTGTAGCAGTTTTGGTTTTCAAATGTAGGACCATTCTGTTTCCGTTTGTAGGAAAAACTTTGTTAAATGAAAATGTATACACGAATTTAAGTTTCTTTTTACCACTTTTCTTTAGGCTAACATATAAAGTATAATTTGGATGAAGAAAGGAAAAAATAACTCCAAGGTGATGTCACATTATTGCTATATAAATTGGATTGCCACATAATTAAAATGTTTTCTCCTTCACAGATAGAGGCATACCCGAGTATTTCAATCATCCGCCTCAAAAGATCAAATTCCGAAGCACCAGGGAATAATGGTAATCCAAGAAATAATTCAGCAACTATGCACCCAAAGGACCACATATCAATAGCTGTTGTGTACCTTATAAGGGTTAAGGGCCAAAATAAAGCCGAGAGTACATGAAAATAATCTGAAAAATTAATTATTAAAGCAGGGAGAACATATCTTCTGAAAAATATACGTTAAGAAAGTCTGGTATGCCATCAATTTTAACAAGGGCATGCTGCTTGGTAAATCCAACATCTCTATGTTCTAAGCTATATGTTTGACTCATTTCATTAGTGTCACACCAAGAACAAGGATACTCTATATCATGTTAAAATGCGAGTATAACAAAACCCTCATAAGTTTTAACCAAGAATATAACAATCTTTACTCTTGGTTAAAACTTAAAAATTAGAAGTAGTTGAGATTCAGCCAATCCCATGCAGCTTGCATTGCAGGAAGATGATGAGGCAAGAAAATGTAAAGAAATAAAATAACGCAATGAAAAGAAACCCCAAAAATATAAAAAGCTTGAAAAGAAAGATATCAGCTACTGATTGCATTGGTTAGGATACTGATATCCAAGGAGAACTTCAGGAGATCTGTAGTATCGACTCTACATTAAAATCAGAGAATAAGTATAAGTACCAAACACTTAGAATTACAATAGTAAAGGCCTACTTTCACAGTAAATGTAAACCTGAATATAGGAGTAAACAGTGCGGTTTTCCATGCATGCGGATCCAAAGTCAATTATCTTGATTTCTGCTGGCTTCACAGTGCTACACATGAAACATACTTACATCAAATCTCAAGATGCAATAGCAGCAGCATACAGTTCGTTATGAACACCTTCATGTAAGAAACCAACCTCGTACATAAAAGAATGTTTTCTGGCTTCAGATCACAATGAATAATGCCAGCATCTTTTAATAGAGCCAGTCCACATAAAATCTTAAAACATAAATTTAAGAAAATAGATTACGATAAGATATCAAAACCAACAAAAGGACCAAGCAGAAAGGTCATACAAAGAACTGATATACCTGCTTAGAGAACAGCTGAACAATACCAAGTGATAATCCCCTAAAATGATTCATCTTGATAAGCTCATACCTGTATAACATATAATATCAACACTAAAATATGCAAGAGGGAGAAAATAACAAATCTAGGATAGCAACATCACAGAAAACATCTGATAATTTTATTTCAGTTGAACTTGAACACCATTCATGCTTTAAATGTATTCTCAATTATGGTACCATGACAAAAGCTAAATGGAAAAAAAAAGTACACAGCTTACAAGTTTGTGTCCAGCAGTTCAAAGCATATGCACAAATGTCGTTGATATACAAAATAATCATATATACGAACAATGTGATGCTTATCCTCGGGATCATACTTCTTATTTAACTGCAACAAAAAAGAGTATACCTGGGTGACTTCTCGTGATTGAACTTGCAACAAAATGAATAGGATCTCAAAAAAGAATAATAGCAATAATAATAATTGGTTACCGTTGTTAAAATAGTTACTTCAACCAGTGCCTGTTGATAGTAAGCAGGTTGATTTTTAATGATCTTGACAGCAACAAAACTGTTGGTATCTGAATCCCAGCATTTAGCCACTTGTCCAAATGTCCCATGGCCAAGGACATCTTTGACAATATATCTGCACCATATGAGAATTCAAATTTAAGAAAGACATATGCCAGATGGGCAAGGTGACACCTTTGCTATCTACTGAAAATCAACATGTATTGCTTTTAGTATTCATAAAGGAGTAGACAATGATAACACAGAAAAAAGGTATGAAATCTGTACGACAAACCTTCTATTTTTCTCTAAATGGATCAAGACGAAATTCACTGTCAGGATAAGATCTGAGTTTACATTATCATAGCCATCATTAAGCACTCCAATAGACGGGCTGGTCAAAAATCTTTTGGGATTTAGATCTTCAGAATATTTAAACTGTGGATTGCATATTTGGTATGTTTCAACTATTTCCTTGGTCAATCTTGCCACCAACTGCAAAGTAGAAGCTGAGCTTCAGTTCAAAATTTTAGATACTCTAAGCTGCAAACAGTCAGATATTAAGAACACAACATAATAATGTATAAAATAGCTATCCTATATCAAAATGATGCTACAGTTATATGTTCATATAATAAGAAACAAAAAAAAAACCCAAAAGCTAATTGAGTGTATTTTACACCCGAACACAACATAGTACTCTAAGCTCCACAGCATACTGAGTGTATTTTACACTAAAGCAAATTCAGAGAAATCTCAGTTTTTCAACCTTTTCAAGTTGACATGAGAATGGGCTTGCTCACATTTATGCTCAAAGTCTTGGGGTTTCTGCTCTCAGGTTCAACAGAACCCTAAAAGTCCTTCAAAGTCCTTGGTAGATAACATCACAAGTTGTAACAGAGAAGACCTATCAGCAAATGGCATCACCAATCAACTAAGAAACTACCAACTGGTCATCCATCTGTGTGTCCTCATACAAAGCAGCATCATGTGTCCCTAGGCACCTCACCATCTGTCGGTGTGTGTAAGCCACATGCTTCCTTCACGATGTCAGATCTCACTACCACTGATCTTGTTATGCTCGTCACCGCTTCTTTGTTCTGTTTGAGTAGTTATAAGTCCTATCCCACTCTGTTTGGATAGTAGTCCTTCCTTGGTGTTTACACTCCTGTTCATGTTTTTCTGATTGCATTGTGAGTCTTATTTTCCTTGTTATGCACATTATTCCCACTCTATTTGGTGCCCGTTGTTCACCTCTGAAGACTTGTGGCTTCTGAGTCTGAATCCTCCAAGTCTCAAAAAGGCATCATCTCCTTTGCATTCTCAAGTTCTCCCGCTATAGCATTTGAGAAACTGAACAACAAACACTATTTATATTGGTATGCTGCTGTTGATATGTGGTTTTTAGGAAAGGGGCTATCTGACCATTTAACCAAGAAAGTTGAAAAGATCGACAGTGTGCAAGAAGAATGGTAGAAAGTCGCTTATCAGAAGTTGGTGCCTTTATGGAGGTCCATTGACCCAAAATTCCTACAAAATCCTGTTATGACCTAAGGTAAAAGGATGGAAAAAGGCTAGAAGTTCCTATGTCGATTATTTCCAGAGCCTATATGATTCAGTCCATAATCTAGCAACCCTCCAAATGACAGATCATGTTTACCTTCCTATCTCAACAACCATAGACCACTATTTAACAAATCAAATTGATTCTGACAGGTGACGATCTTCAAAAGGTATTGGATAAGCTAGATAACATGTATATGCTTTTTGTTCTCCAAGGTCTACACAAGTACTTGAGTCTTTTCATAATAATATTCCTTCAACAGAAGATCTCATTGATCATCTGCTAAGATTTCCTTTGTCAGTGGGGTCTACTGGAATTGGTTCTCAAACAGATTTAGAACCTTCTGCTTTTGTCTACAATTTCATTTATCGAGGAGGCCGAAGCCTTGGTCATGGTAATTGGTAACCTTCCTCAATGTTCCTATTGCAAATGTATGGGACACACTCAAGATAAGTGCTATTCTTTGCATGATTTTCCAGAAAAGTCTACCAATGTGACACAATATCCAGCATTGGGTATTGCGAGAAAGCCTGATTTTATAGATGAAAATAAGAATATCCTGTCAGATAATGAATGTAGGGAGTATCTTCAACCAAAGTCAATCCACCAAGACTCATCTTCAGCTGTTATACCGGTATACCATATATTGGTAATTCTACGACTTGCCTCTCTCATTCATTGTCTGTTGGACCTTTGATTTTAGATATAGAGCTTCTGATTGCCTCTCTCATTCATTATGTGCAGGACCTTGGATTTTAGATTTAGTGCTTCTGAACACCGTTAATCGTTCTCTTTTCTAAAAATTATCTCCTATCAAAACTCTCCATCACATCATTCTCGCTAATGGCTCTAAGGCTAAGGTCGCCAGCATTGGTTAAGCTGTTCCCCTCCCATCTTAAAACTTGAATTATGTTGTTTTTATTCTTGGTCGTCTTCTTCATTTAATTTCATCAGTCAATTTACTCGCACTCTTAACTGCTCCATAACCTCTTTGTTGAACCTTTTTGTAAAGAATTAATTCAACCCAAAAACTTAAGCTATTAGGTGAGCGTTTCTTTAATGGTTTATATTATACTCTAACACGCCTTCTCACGCGAGAGTCCATTGGGCTTGAAGGGTGGATAATGCATCAAGCTTAGTCTACCTATGCTAAGAAATTTCACAAGAGAAAATAGAGGCGGTGAGAATCGAATTCGTGACACCGAGGCTCTGATACCATGTAAAGAACCAATTCAACCCAAAAGCTTAAGCTACTAGGTGAGAGCTTCTTTAATGGTTTATATTATACTCGAACACTTACCATATAAAACATTGGAGTAAGGGCAGACAATTTGCGTAGGATTTGAATCACGAGTACTTAAATCTTCAGCCTCAACTTTCTACCATACATGCTATAACATATTCTCCTAGTCTCCTCCACTGTCATTTCGATCATCCGAGTCTAAATAAATTAAAGCATATAGTTCCTCATCTCTCCCAGTGACAGTGTTTCGGGTGTGAGTTGTGTTAGCGTAGGTAACATGTTTGATCTACTTTGATGAGTAAGGTCTCTTCTTTCGATTATTTTCAATCAGACATTTAGGGTCCTAGTCGTGTCAGTTGTATCTCAAGTTATAGGTACTTTGTTACTTTCATTGATTGTTTATCAAGATGTACCTAGATTATTTTTAATGAAAGATAGTTTTATAATTATTTAGTATTAAATCAACACTCAATTTTGGTGCACCATTCATATTTTATGTAGTGATAATGTAAGAGTATTTTTCTGCCCCTTTAACTCTTTTATGTCCTTATTGCATGGTTTACCAATCTAGTTGTCCTCACACACCACAACAAAATGACATTGCAGAAAGAAAACATCACAATAATTTTTATACTGCTCATGTTATTAAATGCTAATTTACCTCTAAAAGTTTGAGGGGATGTTGCTCTTAGATAATAAATTGTATGCCATCTTCTGTTTCAAATAACCTAGTTCCTCATTCTCTCTTGTTTCCTATGGATTCTCTTTACAAGCACCCTCCCAAATGTATCTTTTGGTTTTACCCGTTTTGTGTATAATCTTTCTCTGTACAGTTATCTAACCTAGCTATGAAATGTGTGTTTCATGGGTATTCTCGAATACAAAAGGTTGTCGGTATTATTCTCCTCCTACACATCACTTTTATATATCTGTCAAAGTCACCTTCATTAAGGATACTCTTTACCTTAATTTACCACACAAGTTGAATCCAACTCCATCTCTCATGTCTAACCAATTCCTTTCTTGGGCTCCTTTATCTCTGCCCCTCCAATTTTTAAGTCCTCAAGTACCAGAAACTTTATCCCAACCATTGCAATCTTCTCTATGCCCATTTATTTCCTATCAGCGTCGCCCTCATCCTATGCTTCTAGAGGCTATCCCCGTTCTAGAATCTGGTGATTCATCACCTGCTCTACATTCTCACCTACTCTGGACATTCCAAATATCTCGCAGACTTAACTATAGTTGTTCATAAAGGTATATGTTCTACTCATAGTCCTTAACCCATCTATAAATTTTTGCGCTATCATTATTTATCATCATCCCATTATGCCTCACTTCTACCCTGTCTATTTCTATTTGTCAACATGTCCAGAAGCACTTTCCAATCCAAAATGGCAACAGGCTATGATAGATGGGATGGCAGCCTTGGATTATAGATTAGAGTAAATACCCTTTTTGGTCCTCAGCAAATTTCACAATGCCTGTTTTAGTGCCTAGCAAATAAAAAGGCCCATCGTGGTCCCTAAGAAATTCAAAATGGACCCATTTTAGTCCTTTTAGGGACCAATATGGGTCTTTTTTGAATTTGTGAGGGACCACGATTTCAACTAAAAGGGTCCATTTTGAATTTTTTAGGGACCACAATGGGCCTTTTTATTTGCTAGGGACTAAAACGGGCATCGTGAAATTTGCTGAGGACCAAAAAGGGTATTTACTCTATAGATTATTATTCCACATCCTCTTAGGACATCAAGAGTTGATTGTTGGTGTTTACTATCAAAGTGGGTCATAATGGCAAGGTGGATTGCTTGAAATTGAAAGCTCTTTCTTTTTTTGCTAAAGGCTTTACTTAGATTTTGATACAAACCTTGAAAGAGCCTCACCCCAAAAGCTAGCTCATAAGGTAGGAGAGCTCAGTCCATATAAATCCCACACCAGAAACCTTATATTTCCGACATGGGACTCCAAATCCCATAACTTGCAATTGGATCATAACAAATTTTCAACCTTTATTATGGCAACATTTCTCTATTATACAAAAAATGGCATTTGTTTGGTTTTTCTTTATCCATAGCCACTGTGCAACATTGGCCTTTATATCGATTGGACAATAAAAATGCTTTTCTTCATGGTAAATTGTGATAAATTTTAGGGATTTGGGTATAGATGGAGAATAAGGGAGAAGACTCAAAATATTGTATATTGATATGATATGAAGTGGTTTAGTGATACAAAAGTCAAAGTATTAATCCCTGTTTATGCTAAATAGAGGACTCTTAAAATATGGAGACAGACCGTGAAATACAAAGATATAGGGAAACTAATCCTAAGAGATTATCTAGGATACTCTAAATTACATGAACATAAAATCTTAATACTATACGACGTCATCTAGATACTCTAGACATTCTAACAACACCTCCCCACAAGCTAAAGCTTACTAAGCTTTTAAGCTTGTCGCAAAAACCCTTTAGAAAATGAAAAAATAATCAAAGAATATAATTTGAGCTCAACAAAACATGGTTGTCGAAGGCATAACAGGTTGGATAGTTACTGGCAGTGAAGGCACCGACTTCAAGGATAGTGATCAATGTGTCTTCAAGCACACTAAAGGCAAAGATAAAAGGTCAAACCAAAGGTTCACCAGCACTGGAAGTGGCAGCTGTAAAGTAGAGAAGATAAAAG